ATAATACTAATAAAATTATATTATACAGTCATAATTACAAAATGTATTTTTACAACATACTTGAATCTTTTTGACTTGTTGTCGCAGATCTTCTAATTCCGCTCTCGTTTTACGCTCAGCAGCCATTAATTGTACTTTATCTCGTTGCTCTTTTCCAACACCTTTATACATATCTAATAAAAGCTTCATCTCTTTCATTTCATTCACAGCTTTTCTGCAATCATATTTATTTTCTGAACATATTGTTATAATAAAATATTAACATTTTATTTAAAAATATTAAATCTTCATAAGCATACTTAAGTTGTGCTTTCAAGTCCCTCACGAGTTCCGATTCTGCCATCTTCGCGTCTTTAGTGCGATGTGTAGGATCACGATGTTCAGTTTTCACTGATTCTTTTTTTATATCCTTTTCTCGTTTTATGTCTTTCTCCTTTTTTAGAGTTGGTGATGTTAAGGTTAAAGAATCTGGCGTGGTTTTGTTGCCTTCACCTTCTCCAACCTCGATAGTTTCTACCTCTTCGTCAGCACCAGATTCTCTCTTTACCGTAACACCACCTTCTTCTTTTATCTATTTTCCAAAACCAACAATTAATGCAAGAATAATAAACAAAAAATCTCAAAATCATATCACAAATAGTAATTTGATATATTAATTATTTTATTTCTTAGAGAGAGAGAGAGGAGGGAGGAGAGAGAGAGAGTAATTTTATGTAGGTACATATATATAAATAACAAAATGTATGAAGGATAATATTATTTTAAAGTAAGGAAAAACCATATTATTTACTTTTTTTTAGTTTAATACTATATCATCTCTCTCTCTCTCTCTCTACACACACACACACACACACACACACACACACACACACACACACACACACACTACTACTATATATATATATACTATATATATATGTACACACGCACGCACGCACGCACGCACGCACGCACGCACGCACGCACGCACGCACGCACGCACGCACGCACGCATGCACGCACGCACGCACGCACTCACACACACATTTTGTTACCTGTGTAGAACCCGGCAAAGAATTTGAGGCGTCTTCTTCTTTTCCACTGCCATCTGAATTATTTCCTTCTTTATTTTCTTGTGATGTTTGTTGGCCTAATTTTGTTGTCAATTCTTCTACTTCTTTTTTTAACTAGAAAAAATTAAATAAAAATACATCATAATTAATCAGTTAAAGTCACACTGCAAAGTCATTCATGTAATTCATATCATATACAAAATATTATTCTACTATTCATTTAATGTTCCATCTAAAGATGCAGTAATGTGCTTATGGTTGATATAATCGTGTATACATATTTATTAAATTTGATAAATAAAAAAAGGATGAAAAAGAAAAAAAAATTTTTAATTAAAATTTATAATATAAATTTATATACATACTCGAGGTATCTCAGTAGAAGTCTCTTTGTATTTTCGTTTATATCTGTGTACTTCCCCTTTTAATTGCTGGTTATGATTCTGAAGAGAAGTAATCAAATGTCGCATTTCTCGATTAATTGGACCTGTTTGTTCATTGGCAGCTAAGTTCTGTTCAAATTCAATGCGAAGCATCTCGTACTCTTTGCGTAATTGTGCCAAGACGTCCTCGAGTTGTATGCATTCTCCACGCAATTTCTTTTGAGCCATTAATTCTTCGCTCTAAAAAAAAATTTTAATAAAAATAAAATAAATTTACATATTCGCGAGCGCAACTTCCGGATATATGAAAGATCTTACCTCCATCATTTCGATATGACGTAAATGGGCATTTTTGCTCGATTGCAATTGTTGACGTGCATCATCCAATTGCGTTTTTAATTGCATGGACTCGTTATACAATACGGAAAATTGTGATTGTAAACATTTGTACTCTGTCGTTTCCACAATTACCGATTCGGGAAGTTGTCTTATCTATAAAAATAAATATTCAAATTCAATGTTAGTTCTTATCTTTATTAAATCAACTATGATAATAAGCAGAGCATTGTCAGAATGTTTATTTAAATATGTTTCCTAAGACTTTCAGGTTTTTCTAGATAGTAAACATCCTGGATAGCTAATCGAATTGAAATACCATAATATAAATAAAATTTAAAAAAGATGATTACTCACATCCATTTTCAATTTTTCTACTTCTTTTAAAGTATCGCGATGCTGTTGATGTAATTTATCTAATTCTTGCAATCTATTGTTAGCTAATTCACGCGTTTCTTCAAGTTCTCTTTGTAAATCTTCAAGCTGTAAATAATATATGTATCCATTATAAATTAAACAATGGTATTGTAATATTAAACTATTTTATACCTATAATTTTATATAGGTAAACAAAATTTTACCTTAGTCTGAGAAACACTGGATGCAACTAAAGTATTCGGTTTATTGCTGCCTTTTTCATCTGTGCCATGAATTTGTTGAAACGCTTTTAACTTTTCAATTGCTTCTCCAAGATGATGTTCCAATTTATCATTTCTCGCACGTACTTTGTTTAATTCATATTGCAAATCATCCACTTGATTCCGCAACTCTGCTGCAAGTGTATCTTTTCCCATTATGGTATCTTGCAATTCTGACATCTATGAAGAAATGTCCAGAAATAAATATCACTACTTTTGATTGTCAATAAAGATCTTGTGCTTAATAATTAATCTTTACTTATAATAATTTATTGAAAAAATATCTGTATACAAAAACTTTTTTGATCAATTCATGATTGTTACAAATCAAGGCTATATCAATTGTATATAATCGATAACAATCAAAAGTAAAAAATTAAATATAAACAAAACAGAAATTACCTTCAATGAGATAGTATGATATTTCTCGTGCAATTGTATATTTATTGCTTGCAGATTTCTATTTTCCATTTGTATTTCTGCATTAGCATGACGTACGACTTCGTCAATGTTCGGCGCATCTTCTATAATTTATCAATTTATATTTTAATAATATAATTTATTTCATTAATCGATTTATACATTTATCATATTTCTGATTGATGATTAAATTTAGACACAACTTTCTTTTTGATTTTCATGTTTTCCCTTTTTGCGATTCAAATAAATTGTTGAATGTTTATTTATATTGTTGAATGTTATATTTATATAATTTTACATATATTTTACATATAATTATATTTACATAATTTTAATGCATGATTATATTCAAATTTCTTCCAAACAATCATATCATAAATATATAATTTAC